AAATTATATTAAAAATTTAAAAGTATGAAACGCATTATGATGCTTATTCTCCGCATGACACGCTTAAACTTGTGATTCTTGATTCTTGACCTCGACGCATCGCAACGCATTACGTCTTTTAGAACACTGGTATTTTATATTCCTATCAACACGTCTTAAGAACCACCATGTATTTGTTTAATAGGGTTCTTAGTAAAGCAGTCCAAAGTCTCCTTTAGAGCTTTGGATCGGAAGGAAAACCATCTTAAAGCACCTTCATGTTTGGGGTTGGCGGCAGAAGTGAAAATTTATAATTCTCATGAAAAGAAATTGGACTCAAGAACAGTCAATGGATTTTTCAAAAAGTCAAAAGGCTATGTGTTTTACTGTCATAGTACGAGAATTATCAAATCTAGAAATGCTAGGTTCATTGAAAATTGCGAAGTTGGTGGGAGTGAAGGACCATGTAATGTGGCACTTCAAAAGGTTAGTGTGCAAGTTCATGTACCTTCAACTTCTACTAAAGTTGTTGTTCCTTTAGTTATTTGACATTTCAACAATCCACAATTGCACAAGTGAACAATTCAACTCCCCATATTAATGTAACTATCGTTAATGTTACAATAGATGAACCACAACAAATAGCATTAAGAAAGTCTACTATTACCAATGATTACATGGTATATCTACAAGAATCAAATTTTGATTTAGGAATTGGTGAAGATCCAGTTTCATTTTCACAAGCCATAGAAATTATTAATTCTGCCAAATGGGTATATGCCATGAAAGAATGGTTAAAATATATGGAATATAACGAAGTTTGGAGTGTTGTTGATTCGTATTCTGGTTCTAAAAGAATCGGATATAAATGAGCCTTTAAGATCAAATGCGACTTACTCTATCTAAAAAGGACTCTTTAAGAATTATTATGGCTTGGGTGGCTCATTATGATTTAGAGTTGGATCAAATGGATGTGAAAAATGTCTCTAATAGGGGATTTAAAGGAAGAAGTTTATATAGATTAACCTCAAGGATTTTCGATGTAGGGAAAGGAAACATGGTATGTAAGCTTAAGAGATCAATATACGAACCCATCAATGGTAGCTTAAGTTTAATGATATCGTTACTTCTTTTGATTTTAAAGAAAATATCGTTGACCAGTGTGTATACATGAAGACCAGTGGGAACAAGTTTATTATTATGGTCTTGTATGTTGATGACATTTTACTTGCCACAAATGATCTTAGCATGTTGCATAAAATAAGAAATTTCTCTTTTGTAATGATCCGACCTCTATATCCAACCCGTTATATTATACGTACTATTTTCACTTTTGGAGGATATTTGCCATCACAAAGCAGACAATACGTATAACTACTCAACCTCTGTGCTCAAGCCGTTATATTCGCCCTCTTACACTCTCACAACTTTCTATCGCTCCCCAAAATTTGAACTCAAGATCTTTCCCCGAAAAATTCTAATAATTGTTAATCTTGAATTAGGATCTTAAGATGTTGGAAGTTAGGATACCAAATTGATGAATTCCCATAGTTTAGGGATCATATTGCACATTGGCCTATAGTTGAGGGAACTAGGTACAATTTAGGAACTTGTTGTTTTTAGGTCAGGAAAAGATCAGTCTGTTTCTGTATAGATTTATATATGGGCATGATTTTGATGGAGAATACGTAAATACCATATTTGTGGAAGAAAAATTAAGAAGGTTCCTTCCTTAGTCACTTTTACCATATGTGCCACTCCATTCACCGTTAAATGAGATATTCAAGAAATGACTATAGAAAAATGATAAATTTTCTTATACGTGTATGTGTGTGTATATTATTTTAATTAAAGATATATTAGAATTAATTAAGGAAAATATTATGAAAATTAGCATANACGTATAATTATATCTAAGTATGATTGATTGAGTTAAATTATATATAATTGGTATAACTAATTACCTTATTTAGTGCACAATTATAGTGACACCATTATGACATTTTCCTTTTGGTATGTCTAAATGCACCTATAAATATCATATCTAAATCATACCCCCCACACATAAATTATCAATTTATTGAAGAAGTTAAATTCTCATATACTTATTTACTACGATTCTGTTCTAATTATCAAGGCCAGTGTAATCATATGTTGTATGTTAAATCACTTTTCATACTCTAAAATACGATATTTGATTTATGAATATAATATGAGTCTATATGTGTAAGTTCATGGGACCGGAGTTCATTAGCGTTACGCATGAGAATTATAACAACAAAGTGCGGTTCTTAATTTCTGTATCTCTCTATATATGTTGTGATTATGTACGGGAATTATGGCCACCTAATTTCTATTTCTAATCACCGTGTCTCCTTATATACAAAATTCCTAAATTTTAAATATGAATTATGATTTATTTGGCTGATTTATTGTAATTTTATTTCATTGTTTATGATTTTCCCTTTTGGATAGATGATGTTCGAAGTGTTAAGAGTTTATAACTGACCTCTGGTGGTATAATAAAGATCTTATTAAACAATTTACTTTTTTCTTTTATGATTTATAGTAAAACTTCGATAAAAAATGTTCGATAAATTAATTATCTTGCTTAAATAATAAGATTCTTTGGTTCCAATTTCAGCCAGTGTACTAAATTAATAATCCCGCTAAATGCATAAGATAATATTTTTAAAAAAATCATTTAAGGCTCAACGAATATATAAATGCACAAAAGTTCATACTAATAACTGTAGAAATTATCATCATGTTTGGCCTCCATTTTTTCAAAAAATATATTTTTTCCTTTTTTATTTTCAAGTACACATTTTTCAATAAATTAATATTACAAGTAAATTCAGAACTTTTTTATTTTTTAATTACACATTTTTTAAAAAAAAAACTATTTCAAAATATTATTTCCCCCATAATCTATATTTAATGGAGTTCAGACTGGGACTATGTTCCATGTGTATATGAAATAACTTGAACAAATAATCTTTCAAGATATAAAATTTGAAGCCGATGCATGTATATTAATGTTTCCTCTTTAATTTATGTATGTATGGGTCTTTTTGTGTATCAACATATTAAAATTTGAATTTCATCATATTGAGCCCTTGTTTGGACTTCATTTTAATATGATTTTGGGAGAAAATGTATTTTGAAATAGTGACTTTTTAGAAAATGTGTTGTTAAAAAATAATGAAATTTTTGAATTTACATGTAATATTATTTTAAAGAATAATGTTTGGTTGAAAAATCTATTTTGAAAATAATGGAGCCCAAACAAGGGCTCAATATATTTTTTAAAAGTTTCCTACATGTATTATGGTAAATATAATACACGTTATAAAAATATAAAATACCGTGTAAATTAATAAAAGTTAAGTTTTATTTTACGATACATTTCAATGACTTCAAAGAAAATTTTGGATTGTTACAACATGGTATTAGAGTGGGGTCTACGTTTCTATGGACACTTAAAAGAGAAAAAAAAGTTCATCTTCAAATTTTAAATGTCGAATTTATGATTATGTTAAAATGTTTTTTTAAAAGAAAAAAAAGTAGATTTAATGTTTTTTATACCACCACTACACCAGGCCAAGTTCCAAGCTTTGACTTCTTTGAACCAGGTAAAAAAATAATCATGCATAATTTATTTATTAACATTAAATATTTGTTGCTAAGTGTTAAGAATTTATGTGAAAAGCATGATTAAATATGTGTTACTTGCCATATTAACCAGCTTATTATGTGAAGAATAATGTAATTTATCATCATAATGATGGATGGAATATCGGTGATGTGATAATTTAGGTAGAATTCTGGGTTATGACAGTTCAATTCCCCTCTCTCTCTCATGAAAATTTAACTGTCATATCTTATTATTCCACATAAATTGCCACATTACTGATATTTCATCATTGTAATAATATTACTCTTATATGAAATAGCAATAATGAATTTCATGACAATAATGACTTAACAAAAGATGGACATAACTTATGATTTTATGGATACATGTTAATTATGAAAAGCTCATTATGGATATTGCAAGTTATGAGAAAATTAATTTTATGATATTACCTGATTTTAGACTACTGAATATATATCAATCTATGAGAACAGTCGACCTTAAAAAAATCTCTCGATTAATAATAGAGTTTAATTAGGAAAATTATATGTCTAAGAACTTTCATTCCTACTTATTGTTCGAGTTTCTTGGTTTGTGTATTCACAAAACTGAAAACCTTGTCAAAAATATCTAAACTTTTTGAGTAGAGTTTGAGATTTACATGGTCCGCTCATGACCCCCTCCTCACATGTAAAACACTTAATTGTGTGTTATTCAAATAAATAAGATGAAACCAATATTACAAATTCTGAATTTAAGAAGATTCCCATGTTCAGAAACTTTATTTTTCAGAAACTTTTAAGAAAATTCCATTTTAGAAACTTCTATTTCATATCTTACGAAATTTCTATTTTGAAAACCAGGATTTCAGGGAATTTCCATTTTGAGAAGCATCCATTTTAAGAAACTTCTATTTTAAGAAATTCCAATTTTACAAAATTTCTATAAATAATGCGTGTTTTTTGTGACGATCCAACATTTGTGCCCAACCTGTTTTATCATACATATCGTGGGAGGGCATTTGCTTTTTTACCCCATTACGACTTTATATCGCATCCTTAAGATTCGAACATATTGTAATTGTCTTAGAGATCACATATTAATAAAGTTTTAGAGAGATTTAAGATGAAGAAATATTGATTTACAAGTATTATTCAAATTCAGAAAGGACACAAATTAATTTTATGCAATATCCAAAGAATGAATTCGAACAAAAACAAATGAAAGCAATTCCTTATGCATCCATTGTTGGGAGTTTGACATATACATAGACTCGTACTAGGTCAAACATCAGTTTTGTTGTTAGAATGTTGGGTTGGTACCAAAGTAATCCAGGAATGGATCATTGGAAAGCTGTGAAGACAGTATTGGGGTATCTGCAACGAATGAAAAACTACATGCTCACTTATAGGAGATCATCTCATCTTGAGGTTATTGGATATTCAAATTCGGATTTTGTCGGATATATTGATACAAGAAAATCCACATTTGGTTACTTGTTCCTATTAGTTGGGTGAACAATCTTATGAAAAAGTGCAAAGCAGACCATCATTATTGCATCCACTACGGAGGTTGTGTTTGTAACATGCTTTGAGGCTACAATTTAGGGTTTATGGCTCTGAAACTTGATTTCAGGATTTGAAATTATTGATAGTATTGCCAGCTGCTGAAAATTTATTATGACAACTCCGCGATAATTTTCTTCTTTAAGAATGACAAGTATTCAAAATATGTTAAATACATGGAATTGAAATAATTTGCTGATAAAGAATATGTTCAGAAACAAAGAGCGTCGATTTTACCATATTAGCACAAATCTAATGGTTGCAAATTCATTGATTAAATGATTGCTACCAAAGACATTTCATGAACATATCGAAAGAACGAACATTAGTGGTTTTCAATATTGATATTATGTATTTGACACTCCGAGCTCTTTTATGTCTTGTTTCTAATGTTTATATTCATCTTCTAAAAGTTGTCTCTAACGAAGGCATTATCGTTGGACCATTATAATAAATCTCATTGTTAGTCATATTAAGTTTAAAACTAATATCGTGACACATGGAGTGGACTATGTCGAACTAATTACACATAACTGCCATGATCCTTATTAGTTTTCTGCTTAATGATGATTTATGGTTTGATCAATATAATAATAGATTTAACTTATACCATGCATATTACGTTATTAAACAATGATGTTAAATTATGACACATGGGCCAAGTGTGAGAATGTTAAATGGTTTCTAAAAATTTATGGCCCGTGTATTCATTAATATGATTATCTTATTTATTAAGATGGCTATCTTTATAAGTAATTAAATGATGATTATGTTTTAAGATTAATTAAGTGCTATACCCTATTTGAGTTAAAGAATGATTGCAGTAACTGTTCACGTTGATGGAATGTGAATTAATGGAGAATTTATTTAAGACTCGATCCTCTCTCTACCCTATAAGTATACCGTTTTCTCTCCATCAAGAATGTATAAAAAGAAAGCCTAAGGGGTCAAGAGAGAGAAACCTAGTTGCCTTAGGATTTCGTATCTACAATTGATTTCTAATTTAAAAAAAGGTCATCATGGATTAAGGTACATTTTCTCCCAAATTTTGAAATTGTGAAAATCATCACGTTGTAAAATTTGGGACTTAATTATGCATAATTGGATTTGATTTGCATAAATAAAGAATCATGTCTTACACTAAAAGCTCATAGAGATTCTCAACCAAAACTTCTTTTGATATTTAAAGGGACATTATTAAGACCAACCAATTCATTTACTCTCACATCAAAGAAGCCCATTTCTAGCTTTTCTATGTTCAAGTTCTAGCTACAGCCCATGCATTTCTCCTTTATAGATGCGACCGCATGCGTGAGTCAAAACATAACTAATTAGTCTATATTGTGTTTGGCCAGTGTTTATAAGTACTTAAACTATTTTTATTTAGAGTGTGTCTGAGAGAGCAGTTTAAGGCCAAAAAATTGATTTTCCAACCATTAGAAATGAAAAATTGCAGCCATTGTTGACTTTGGCTCTCACATGTGGGACCCATATGTGGAAAAAAAAGGTCCATTTTTTGCTTAAAATTTGCTGAATAGCTCTACCAGACAGCCCCTTATACATTTCGAATGATCGACTACCCACTTTCATTTTTTTTCTTTTTATAATTTAAACATTTTTTATTTTGATTTTTAATTATTTGTTTTGAGACTCATTTGTAATTTTTGACAATTTTGAGCCTAGGGTTGCAATTAGTTCTTTATTGTTTTCTTTTTTTCTTTTTGTTTTATTTAAATAAGAGGGTAAATTTGTCATTTCACATATTTTTATAGAGAAAATGGATCAAAATTGAGGAAAATGATGTTTTCCGCAATAAAACGTGGAAATAGGGGTGGAAATGCAGAAAATTGAAATGTATAGACCTTTTGCACACTAAAAGCCAAACGTGTGGACGTTTTGTGCTAATAAACGACTCAAAATTTATGTTTGATAACATTAATTGTTCAAGCACTATTGCTAATGTACCCATAATGCAAAAACTATTTAGAAGATTACAAGATTATTGTTTTAACACTTAAAAAAATCTTATAAATTTAGGCTCCGTTTGATAGCCTTAGTTTTCCATGGAAAAGGAAAACATTTTCCTTTTCCATGGAAAAGGAAAACATTTTCCTTTTCCACTCTTAAAAATCTGTTTCATAGGTAAATTTTTCCATGGAAAACGTTTTTCACCTTTTTCTAGATACAATCATTTGATGCACAAAAACTTGATTTTTCACCTTTTTCTAGATACAATCATTTGATGCACAAAAACTTGATTTTGTTTTCCCACCTATTAGTTGGGAAAACATTTTCCACCTTTTTTTTTTAGTAAAGGCAACCAATTCTATCAATTATTGTAAAAAGGAAATTTTTTTTCCTGTTAAACATTTTCTTTCCACCCATTTTCCACCCTTGTAATCAAACGGACCCTTAATGAAAGTTTACATAACTTGTTCAATGTGGACTCATGACGCTAATAATTGATTGTCGACGATCTATTTGTCATAAAACAAATTGGGAATTAGATTACAAAAAGTTCAAAAATTGAGGATGGTAGTGCAATTTACCTTTTAAATTAAGCTCCTATTTGGTAGAAATTAAAATCAGATTTTTAAAAGATTTTAGTAAAAATTTATAAAATGTTTAGCTGAAAAATTATGGATCCCATGAAATATATAGGTAAAATTAATTGTTGACTTTAATTTTGATAAAAATATTAATTTTAATTGTATCAAACAGGGACTAAAGAGACTGCAATATTATTTTATCTTCCATAAGTTATTACATTTTGAAAGAAGGAGATTTTTCGTTCTAAATCATTTTGAACTAGCTCAATGTTCATGTACGAAAGTTTCTATAAATAACACGATCATTGTCATAAACTTACCCTTCCTTAGTTAGATGAGTTTATTGTTTCAAAAGAAAAAAAAAAGTATTAGATGAAGTTATTGAAAAACTCCCTCAATTATCATATAAAAAGAGAAAACAATTTCATGTTAATAAAATTCTAAGAACAGTTAATTACAATATTAGCTATTGAGTAATTAAGTTAGTACATTGGTGTATTTAAAATAATGGTTGGGCCAATAATAAAAAATAAATTTTCGAAAACCCTTATTAAATAAATAAATGAAATGCAAAAAGGGACATACATACAAGCAAATATATTTTTAGGCTTATATCTGCAAAATCCCCGTAGTTTTAAGGTTTCAACGTAGGGTAGGGCCATAAAACTGAAAGATGAAACGAAATCAACTCCTAGTTTTCCTCTTCTATTTCCGTCACTCTCTCTGTATATATTAAAAACAGAAAACCTGACTTTCTCTCTCCATACGTTTCTCCGTCGCTCTTTTCTCACACCGTAGTACTTTCTCTCTCTACGCGGCGACCGAAGAGTGCACCGCCGTCCTCTATCTACGCCATTAAAGGTACGCTTCTGATTCTTCCCCATCCATGCCTCTTTGTTTCTTACTTGATCCCCTATTTTCTCCATTTATCCTACAAAAAACCCTAATTAGACTAATAACACTCTTTTTTCTCTCCCTATTAATTGATTTTTAGTTCTAATAACTTTTTTTTTGAAGTGCTTCTTTGAGAATCTCGGATTTGATTATTTTTATTTTTTTGCAAAATATATTTACAGTGAGATATCCTGGGGTGAAAATTTGGGTTAGGTTTTTGATGCTCTGGTTCGGGTTGAGATCCGCAAGGTCAGTTCAGATTACAGGTCTTGTTTGGGGATGGCTAATTCTGGTGCCAAGTTTGTGTCGGTGAATCTGAACAAGTCGTATGGACAGCAGCATCAGCCTTCTCATCATTCAGCTTTTAGTGGCAGTGGCAGCAGTGGTTCTTATGGGCAGGGTAGCACTGGGCCACGGGGGCGCCTTGGGAGTGGTGGTGCGGGAATGGTGGCGTTATCAAGGAATCGGGGTACACAGAAGGCTGGTCCAAAACTCTCTGTTCCACCCCCCTTGAATTTGCCCTCCTTGAGGAAAGAACACGAAAGGTTTGATTTATCAGGGTCAGGCGGAGGGCCAGGTGGTGGTGTTGGTCCTGGAAGTGGGCCAAGGCCCACTTCGTCAGGTTTGGGCTGGACCAAGCCTGTGGCAGCTACTGCTTCATCAGAGAAGAATGAGAGTAGTGTTGATGTTCATGTGGCTGATGGAATGAATGCTACTGATGGATTAAATTATGGCGGTGGTTCTTCTTTGCCAAGTTCGGCTCAACCTGATGAGCTTGGAGTTGCGCGTTCTAGTTATCCTGCTCGGGCATTTCCACCATCAGCGGCGAAAGTCACAGTTTTGAGAGGTGAGGATTTCCCCTGTTTGCAGGCAGCAAGGCCTGTTTCATCAGGCACATCACAGAAACAGAAGGAGGCTTCGATCCAAAAACAGAATCTGGTGGTGAGTGAGGAAACATCTGAGGACAAGAGGGATAGTTTCCATTCAAGTCTGGTAGCTGATGTAATGCAACAGGGACAGTCTTCAAGGAGTACTGTTGGAAGTGGGTCGTTGCAGAATGCTGGAGAAGGTCATAGGATGGGCGGCTTGCGAATGGAATATCACACTCGGAAACAGGAAGATTACTTTCCTGGTCCACTGCCACTGGTTCAGTTCATTCCGAGATCTGATTGGGCTGATGATGAGCGTGACACTGGCCGTGAGTTTGCAGAACGGGGAAGAGAAGTTGGGGGTTCAAAAAATGAAAATTATTGGGATAGGGATTTTGACTTGCCCAGGCCCAATGTTTTACTGCACAAACCAGTTCATAATCATAATCATAATCATAATTGGAGTCAACGAGACAATGAAACTGGAAAAGTATTTTCCAGTGAAGTCCTTAAACTGGACCCTTACAACAGAGATTTGAGAACAACTAGTAGGGAAGGCAACAAGTGGAAAACCTCGCCGTTTTATAAAAATGGATTAAATTCTCAAGAGGTTGGAAATGACCGAAATGGTATTGGTGCAAGGACTGATGGACCCAACAATGCTGCTAAGGACAATAAGTACATTCCACCACATTCTGGCGACACTGTTAGAGATGGCAGTGTGATTGTTAATCGGGGTTCTTCATTTGGAAGGAAGGATGTGGTACATGTTCCAGAAGTGAGGCAGCAATGGAACAACTCAATGGAAGTACATAACAATCGAGGGGTTGAGCATAATAATCGAGATCGTTATGGTGCTGAGCAACCGAACAGATACAGGAGTGATAATTTTCAGAATAATGCATTATCTAAATCTTCGTTTTCTTCTGGTGGGAAAGTTCCTTCTATGACTGGTGTCAAACTGAATTTAGGCAGGGAGAAACATGCTTTTTCCAGAGGAGAGAGACTGTTTTTTGAGGATCCCTTCTCCAAAGACTTCGGTTCTGCAGATTTCGATGAAGGGGAGCTCTTTCCCGGGGGTCTTGTTGGTGTAATTAAGAGGAAGAAGGATGTTGCTAAGCCTACTGATTTTCATGATCCTGTTAGGGAATCTTTTGAAGCAGAACTTGAAAGAGTTCAGAAGATGCAAGAGCTTGAGAGGCAGAGGGTCATCGAAGAACAAGAAAGAGCTCTGGAGCAAGCTCGAAGAGATGAAGAGGAGAGACTTAGAAGAATCAGGGAAGAGGAAGAAAGGCAGCGGAGGTTAGAGGAGGAGGCTCGTGAAGCTGCTTGGAGAGCAGAACAGGAGAGACTGGAGGCTATTCGGACAGCTGAAGAAAACAGAATTGCCAGGGAAGAGGAGAAGAAGAGAACTCTTATGGAGGAAGAGAGGAGGAAACAAGCTGCCACGCAAAAGCTTTTGGAATTGGAGGCTAGGATGGCCAAGAGGCAGAGTGACACTTCAAAGATTGATGCTTCCATGTCTTATGCGATTGTGAATGACAAAGTAGATGCTGGGGTGAAGGAAAATGATAGCTCCAGGACTGTTGACCTGGACAACTGGGAAGACAGTGAAAGAATGGTGGATAATATGATGACATCAGCATCGTATGATTCATCTGCTTACGACGGACCTTTTGATATCAGTTCTGGGCCTTACCCTCCTAAAGACGTTTCTTCAAGCTTTTTTGACAGAGGAAAAAGTGTTAATTCATGGAAAAGGGATATGTTTGAAAATGTGAGTACCTTGCCCTTACCAGCACAGGACCAGGAGATTGGTTATAACAGTCCGAGAAGAGATACATTTGGTAGTGGCACAGCAGTTCCTAGAAAAGAGTTCTATGGAGGATCTGGATACGTGAATTCTAGGGCTTATTCTAAAGCAGGCATGCAAGAGCCTTTCTTAGATGACTTTGGACGTCAGAAAGACCATAGGTGGAACGTGCCAGGGGATGTTGACTTGTACAGCAAAAATAGGGAAATCAATTCCGGATTTCATGATAATTTTGTAGATAAATTTGGTGATAATGGATTGGGACAGGGCCGTTCTCGCATTAGTACTCGCTCACCTTACCCAGAGCGACTGTATCTGAATTCTGAGGCAGATGAGCTTTATCCGTATGGGAGGTCACGGCATTCCATGAAGCAGCCTCGCGTTCTCCCCCCTCCACTTGTTTCCTCTCAAAGAACTTTTAAGGGGGCGAATGAGCATCCTGGTCCATCAACTGTCCTAGATAATGGCATCCATTATGCTTACAGAGCAAGAAATGAATCTAATAGGCAGACAGGTTATTATGGGGGTAACCAGGAAGCCCTTGAAGTACCCAACCTTGTTGAACTGCAGCAAGAAAACACTCCTAATGAAGACCAGAAATTGAAGGACATTTCATCAAGATGTGATTCACAATCTTCACTATCTGTTTCAAGTCCACCCAACTCACCACCTCATCTCTCCAATGATGAATTGGAATCTGGAGATTCTCCTTTGGTATCCATGGTAGCAGAAGGAAAAAAGAATCAGCCTTCTGCAATTGATTCTGTTATCTTGAATGATAATTCTGGAAACGATGCCATGATAATAGTGCCAATTCCTACTTCTGCTGTTGAGGATGAGGAGTGGACTCCTGAAAATGATGATGAGTTGCAGCAGCAAGAGGAATATGATGAGGATGAAGATGGTTATCAGGAAGAGGATGAAGTGCGTGAAGGAGATTACGGGAATCTCGTTCTGGACCCAAAATTTGAAGATTTGCAGCTCGAGGACAGGGATTCTTCTCATATTTTGGAAAATGTGGTCTTAGGCTTTGACGACGGTGTAGAAGTTGTAATTCCAAGTGACGATTTTGCGAGAAATTCAGGGACTGAAGAAAGCACATTTGGAATTTCTGGCAGTCATGTTCATATTAAGGAAGAACAAGGGGCTATCAATAGGGTTCCAGATGACGAACAAAGTTTTCTGCCTACTGATGATTCCTTTGGGACCAGCAAAGATAGCTCCTCTGAGAAGATTCGGGAATCCGATAAATTGTTGACAGCGGCTACTGTTCTACCTATCAGTGCTCCTTATTCCTCGACTACATCAGATCTTTTATATGTCGATGTCTTGGGTAGCTCTGTTTTACCTGCTCAACACCTCGTCTCAGCTTCAGGTGATGTTACATCTGCTGCTGGTGAGATCAATATGTCATCTATGGCTTCTGCTGGGACTCAGGTTGATGTACCTGTTAAGCTTCAATTTGGGCTGTTCTCTGGTCCATCTCTGATACCATCTCCAGTTCCTGCTATCCAGATTGGTTCAATACAAATGCCTCTCCACATTCATCCTCCTGTTGGTCCATCTCTTACTCATGTGCATCCTTCACAACCTCCTATCGTCCAATTCAGTCAGCTGTGTTATACATCTCCTTTCTCGCAGGGAATTTTGCCCTTACCCCACCAATCAATGTCCTTTGTCCAGCCCAACATGCAGGTCCATTATAATCTGAATCAGAATGCTGGAGGCTCTGTGCCTAATCAAACAGCTCAAGATGCCCCACCACATGCAGTAAAAGATGAGGTGGCTTCTCTCTTGGTAAATAAGCAGTCCAGATTTGTGTCAGGACAGCCAGATCAATCTCATGGGAACCTTCCCAGGCAATTAGGTTCGGTTTTGGCTGAAGATAGTTCGGAAGGTGATTTTCTTTCACATTCGATAAATTCTGAGGTTTCTGGTGCCTGTAATAACAAGATGAAGCTAGAATCTAGTTCTCGATCAGAAGAGAAAGGGCAACGTGATTCTGTTTCGAACAATTACTTGTCATCATCAAAGGAGAATGGAACTGTAAGTCAGTTGCAGCGTGTACAACCATCATCAAAGTATGTTTCTGGTGAGAAAAATTTCAGTGGACCAAGACTCCAAGGCATAGGTGGTAGCAGAGGGAGAAGATATGCCTATGCTGTGAAAAATTCCAACACAAGATCTTCTTTTCTGGCTCCTGACACTTCTACAGATTCAAGTGGGTTTCAGAGGAAACCTCGACGAACTGTTCAGCAAACTGAATTTCGAGTATGGGATCATGAAAAGAAACAAGAACGGACTACTGTTAAGAACGGAGGCTCAGTTGATAAGTCAAATTATAAAAGAAGAGCTGTGGGAATTATTGCAAGAGGTGGTTCTAAGAGAGGTACTATCTCTAATAGACCATCGAAACAGGGAGTTGAACCAGAGAGCTCATTGTCTGGAAATACTAGTTCTCAGGAGTTGAATTCCAGTGACCGACTAGGAAAGAAAAGTGTAAATGACCCGTCAATGAAGAAGCAGAATATCTCTTCCCCTGTTGAGTCAAATTTCAAGAGAAATGCTTCTGAGGAGGATGTTGATGCTCCTTTGCAAAGTGGTGTTGTTCGTGTTTATAAACAACCTGGCATAGAAGCTCCCAGTGATGAAGATGACTTCATTGAAGTGAGATCTAAAAGGAAAATGAAGATGACTTCACGGGCCACAAAGGTATTGATGCTCTAGAAGAGTATTGTTCTCTATCATATTTTCTAAGTTTTCTGAGTGCAATTACTCAATTACGTTTTCTCTCTCTCATCTCAGCTACTGCCTAAATCTCGTGCTCCTAGACAAAGTGTTGTAGTGTCAACAAGTCCAAATAAGCTCTCTGCACCACTGGCTAGACAATCATCAACCAACTCTCACTTCAATTTTGTTGCCTCGGGGGGAAAAGGCTTGGGCGATAAAGAAGTATCCACAGGAACCACTGAAGTTTCCTCACCACTGGCTCCAATTGGCACTCCTGATCTGAATACTGAAACTCCGGCTATGACAACATCTCATGCCATCACGTACACATCCTTCAATATAAAGTTTGCTTGTGACACTTATTTAGAAGTATTCTTATGTATATGCTTCTATATTTCTGCAGTTCCATCCGAACAGAATCAGTTTCTGCTGTTTCTAATAAAAGTGGAAAAGACCTTGAGACTGCGAAAATGTTTGAGAACAAAAATAAGGTTTTGGATAATTTCCATTCAGATGCGAGTACTTGGGGCGCTGCAGGACTTAATCAACAGGTATGCTGAACTATTGCTTTTATTGATATGGGTTAGTTGTAGCTGGTGGGTGATTATTAGCACACGTGAGAATGCTTCCCAGCTCTTACATTTACTGTCAACTTCTAGTAAAAGAGACTAAGAAGATGCAAAAACTATCTATCATTTGATCTATTAATCATTATTTTCTATAACAGACTGGAATTTATTTTGTGACTTTCAACTCTCATTTGCAGTTTGACTTCTATAATTCTGTTCATAATTTTCACGATGTAGAATAGGACATGTCTATTTCATTCACAAAATCTCGGTCATAGACTCGAGATAGAAGAACAAGAGGGGGATCATTACTGCAGCATATCTTATTTCTTAATGTAAAAAATATGTGCTAAACCTAACCTGTCTAGAAAAAGTTCTTTGCATAAAGTCTTATTTTTTATTATAATCACTGCCATCCTTTCATCTTCTTACTTTCAAGTAAATCTTCATTCATTAGCATTTTATATGGTGCCATTTTCCCTGGAAGACGTGTTTTTGCATATTATCTCCCAAAAGGGATTTTTAACGAATTGATATTAGTTGTTGAATATCATGCATTAGCTTTGTATCATGGAACAGAGTTGGTTCCAAGGAAAATTTGGTGATTCTTAGAGCTTATTACGTAATAAATATTGATACTAAGAGGTCTTCTCTTCTAGTTTTGTTCTACTAGTCATTCCATGTGATTAGCTCCTGAATATGTGGATGTTGATCCTCACTAACATACAACTGATACCATAGTTTCCCAGCCGTTCTGTCTTGTTGTCTCGTGACACTAATCCATGTTAATTTTGTTTATTCTACTAGAGCTCCTTTTTTGGCATCATAATACCAGTTTCTTCTTCAAACCTCAACCCACTTCCATATTAAACGAGATCCATATTTCCTTTTTGCCTCTTATCGCCATAGAAAAGTTCTTGAAACCAATTTGACTATTTATGTGCAGTGAAAGTGCTTCTACTGATAAATTTAATTTCTCGCAGGTTATGGCCTTGACCCAGACTCAACTTGAGGAGGCTATGAAGCCTGCTCGATATGATTCACACATTTCTGTTGAAGTCCATTCCAGCACTGTTAGTGATCCCGTCTTGCCATCATCATCCATGTTATCAAAGGATAAGTCTTTTTCTTCTGGTGCAAGTCCAATCAATTCCCTGCTTGCTGGAGAGAAAATTCAATTCGGTACAATTTATTATACTGCAAGCTTAAGTTTCTACTTTAGTTTCAATTGATAAATTTCTGACTGCTTTATCTATCCAACAGGTGCTGTTACCTCTCCAACAGTCCTTCCTCCAACTAGTCGTGTTGTTTCCCATGGGATTGGGGCTCCAGGTTCTAACCGATCTGACATACAAATATCCCGCAATCATTCTGCTGCTGAGAAAGATAGTTCTCTTTTCTTTGAAAAAGAGGAACACCGCACTGACTCTTGTATTGCCCTACAAGACAGTGAGGCTGAAGCTGAAGCAGCTGCTTCCGCAATTGCTGTTGCAGCCATCAGTAATGATGAGATAGTTGCCCATGGCTTAGGATCTGTGGGTTTCTCGGATGCCAAAAACTTCAGAGGCACTGACATCGGTGAAATTATAGCAGGTAGGCTTGAAGTCCCCACCCCTACCCACATTTTCAGAGAGAATCCTTTTACCTTTTCATTGGCGAGTTCATTTCTCTCTTTGAATTTATTACAGCCGTATCAGAAGATCAGCAATTGGCAAATCAATCGCGAGGTGAAGAATCGTTAAGCGTATCTCTTCCTGTAGATCTTTCTGTCGAGACAACTCCAATATCCTTATGGTCACCTATGCCAAGTCCCCAGAGTTCTACACCCCAGTTGCTTTCTCAATTTCCTGCGGGTCCACCTTCGCACTTCCCCTTCTATGAGATGAATCCGATGTTGGGGGGTCCAATCTTTGCCTTTGGTGCATGTGAAGATTCTTCTGGCACTCAATCGCAACCCCAGAATAGTACAGTATCAAGTTCGGGACCTACTGGTACCTGGCAACAATGTCATTCTAGCCTGGACTCAATATATGGTCCTCCTGCTGGATATACTGGTCCTTTCATTAGTCCACCCGGTGGTATTCCTGGGGTGCAGGGGCCTCCCCATATGGTTGTTTATAACCATTTTGCTCCAGTGGGACAATACGGACAGGTTGGTTTGAGTTTTATGGGTACCACCTATATCCCTTCTGGTAAGCAATCTGATTGGAAACACAATCCAACATCTTCGGCTGTGCATATTGGCAAGGGAGAGATGAGTAGTATGAATACTACTGTGCAACGAAATATGTCCAACATGGCTGCTCCTGTTCAGCATCTTGCCCCTGGATCACCACTCTTGCCCATTGCCTCCCCTTTGCCCATGTTTGATGTATCTCCATTCAAGGTAAAAGATTTTTTGTGTTGTGTAAATCATATAATGCTATTGAAGTTGTGCTTTAGTCTCGCTGTACTATTGTCATTTTCTTTCTTCACTTATTAAGTTTACATTCTTGATAGTAGTAACAAGCAAAGCCTTATTTGTGATTAATTTGGCTACATGAATCGTTTTTCACTGCTCCATTGATCTATGGATACATTTATTGGAATATCCAACATGATTTAGTCCTTGCAACTTCAAGTCTTATGCTAATTTTACTCTAATCACTCCTTGAACGAGTTCTACTTGGATCATATCTCATTCTTATGAATGAGATTTCTTTAGGTTTATGAAAGACATTCCAACCACCCAAGTCTCCTTCCATTTTTTGCCTCAATCAGTGTCATCTCTATGTTGACATGTATTCTGATTTTATATTTAATCTATTTTAATATGATTTCACGTTAATCTTAATATTTTCATTACTACTACACTACATTCTGGTCTTTTAAATTGCCCAGCACTCACTCCATGCATAATTGGTCTAATACGAACTTGCTTTTGACCTTACATGGATATTTCTGTGATGGAAGTCTTTACAGAATTTTTCCAATTTATAAAACCTGCTCTAGCCCATGTGTGACATCCTCCTCAAGTCCGTCCTTGTTATTAATCGAACCTAAATACATAATACAGTCACCCTTTGGAACAACATGCTTTATTATTGTGTCTCCAATATCATCATTATTATTAATAAGAAAAAAAATTGTGAATATGATAACTTGATTGCTTGTGACCAAAAAAAAAAAATTTAAATAAATAAATAGTGAAAACTTATAATCCTAATGTTCAAAATTGTGATTTTACAAGAAGTTATGTTTTCATTTTGCTCGTCTTTTATCTGCTATTGAAGAATGACAGTAGATGAGAGTACTACAGAATTTGTTGTTATTTTGTTATTGGCTTCAAGCAGCTCTCATCCAGTATCTTTAAAAAAATGCTATACGTGATAACTTGGAATGTCTTCAACTTGATTTCAGTCTGCACCGGACCTATCTGTTCAAGTTCGCTGGCCACATCTTCCTGCATCACCGCTTCACTCTCTGCCTCTCTCACGACCATTGCAGCAACAACCAGATGTTGTACTGCCTTCTCAAGTCAGCCATGGACATTCCATTGGCCAATCATTAAATGTCAATAGGTTTTCCGAGTCTCGAATTTCAACACCATCAGAGAATGACCCAACTTTTTCTGTGGCAGCAGATACAAATATTGCCCAGTTTCCTGCTGAGTTAGGATTAGTAGATACATTGAGATCCATCAATTCAGGCACATCTGCCCAGAGTGGCATTGATCAAAGCTCCACAGGAAGTGCTACTGCTGAGTCTGGCAAGACTGATCTTCTTAAGAATGGCATCGACAAAAATGGTAAACACCAAAGCACTAATTCTCTGAAGACTCAACCGTTCCCTCAGAAGAATGCATCCACCCGACAGGGTAATTCCTCTGGCTATAATTACCAAAGAGGTGGTGGGATGTCCCAAAGAAACAAAGCAGGAAATGAGTGGTCCTATCGAAGAATGGGTTTCCATGGAAGGAACCAGTCTGCTGGTGCAGAAAAGGGTGGTCATGGTTCAAAAATGAAACAAATATATGTGGCTAAACAAACCACAAGTGGAAGTTCTAATGCAGCGTGAGCCAGACATTAGGATTTATGGCGAATACTGGAAAGATTGGAAGTGAGCATCACTTTTGATAGTAACATTCTAGCTTTTGGGTCTTCAATTTTAGGGCTTCGCAAAATGCTTAGTTTTGCAATTTTCTTTTTGTGGTAAATGGTTTTCGTTGGATTGCAGAACCAGCTGGTGATTGTTATTTCCAAATATGGCAGTCTCCAAGTCTCCCTCTGGGTATTTGCCCTATTGTTCATCTTCTTCATTTTTGCTTGGGCGCAACCCAGAATAGTTTCTCTTTTCTTTTACAACTTGGTTTCATGTATTGGAACTGTAACAACACCGACAGATCATATATCGTTCATTATTGTTCGTGATTATTAAAGTTAGAGAAAATCGCCTATTTGATGTTAATGTTGAAGGGAAATTTAATTGAAGTGCCCTGCCAAGATTTTGCATATTGTTCACATTTTTCCAGACTGTTACTCAAGATATGCTGCTGTTATAAGCCTTTTGAAATTTCAAAGTGTTGGGATTAGGATTCTAAAAGGCGTAATGAGTGGCGATACGTGGAGGCTAAGTTATGGGCTATGCGAGATATGAGCGTAAAAAGACGTTTTATTATTTTAATATTATTTTAGTTTTTAATTAATCAAAAAATTATTTAATAATTAAAAATAATACCAACAAAACATTTAAAATAGATTTATATGAGCTTTATATATTCTTTCAAAATATTTTAACAAAACGATAAATCAACATTTAAGTTTTAACTTTAAAAAATTGTAAAAAAATTGTATGAAGAAAAAAAGATATTGATGTGCACTTAGATCACTCCTATGCATGCATTAGCGGTCAAAAATTGGGGAGAATTTTCAATTTAGTCAGGTCAAATGACCCATTTAAGTTTTTTATATAAAAGTCTATTTTGCTCTTAATGAAATGAGTTTTTATTACAAATCATGTCCTCAAACTTTATAATAATTTTTAGAAACTAGTTTTATTCTTATTTTTATTCGTCCTCACTAGATGTATATTCTAAATTTGATTTTTCTTCAAAAATCTCTTCAATATTAATTTCTTCACATTCATCTTTAATCTGTTCAAAATCTGTAATTAATATCATAA